CACACACACACACACACCACAAACACCCACCCACCCACAAACACACACACATACATATACATACCCATCCACACACACCCACAAACACACACACACACACACCCACACACACCCACCCCCACCTGCACACACACACATACCAACCCACAAACACACACACATACATACCCACCCATACACACACACACACACCAACCCACACACATACATACATACCCACCCACACCCACCCACAAACACACACACACATACATACATACCCCCACAAACACAAACAAACACACTCGCACCCCCAACCACCCAACACCATCACGACAATCACCGACCTACCATCACAACCACCACCACCACTAACCTGTCACTAGCACCACCACCACCGCTGCCGTCTGTCATCACCACCACTGACACAATTGCCGCTGCCACCACCATCGCCTGTCATCACCACCACTGCTGCCGACCCACTACCGTCACCGCTCCCGCCCACACCTTATCACCGCTACCGTTTTTTAAAAATGAAAATCGATAGAAAAATACACATCTAAACACGTTTTTTAATTTTCTAAAACTGAAAATGAAAAATGAATAAGTTTAACTAAACACGTTTTCTAAATTTTTTAATAAAAAATAAAAACGGAAAATGAAAATCGAAAAGGGAAAACAAAAAACGGAAAATGAAAATTGTTTTTCCGTAACTAAACGCAACCTTAGTCTTTTTATTTTCTCAATTCATGAAATAATTTAAAGCAACTCAAAATCAGAAAAATGGTAAGTAAAAACGTTTCATATGATAAAATAGGAAAACCAAGTAACAAGAGTGGTACAAATTTAAGTGTACATTAAAAATGAAGAAGGCACATGTTTAATGTTGCATCTAACTTCTACAATAAAACAAATAGCCTTCTCATCATATGTGTATGTGTTATGAACAAAAATATCAAAAATAGTAAACTAAAGTGTATGATATATTGGTAATTTTTTATATTTTAATTTAAGCTAATGATTTGGTTCCGTTAAAGGTGCATCAGTTTTCGACGATAACCGAAACCGAACCATAATTATTAGCAAAAATTAGAAACCAAACCATCTTATTTAGGAACGGTTTGGTTATAAATGTTTGTTTCAGTTAATTGGTTACAATTTATTTTTTCGGTTACTATGCTCATCATTATGAAATTTTATAACAACCAAACATATATATATATATATATATATATATATATATATATTATATATATATATATATATATATATATATATAATTTAGAAAGTTAGAAATGTAGTTGGTGGGAAATCTGGTAATATTTAAAAATATATAAATATTATGAAGTTATAATTTCGGAATAATTAAAAGTTATAATTAAGAAATTATATAATTTAAGTTTATTATATATATTTTTCTATAGTAAGAAAAGATGCAGTTGAAGACTAAAAAATACCAATTATGGATGCTCTTGTGAGTTGTGATCCATGATGCGTTCCAAAAACCACCTAATCTCTCCATCTAATAAACAAAACAACATGTCCACGTGTCCCTTCAAAAGATCAAATTTCTGTTAAAGTTAAATACCGATTCTACCCCTTCTTTGTTTCACATTGAATTCGATATTGAAATCCACATAACGCCTGTTTTGTTTCAAATTTTATCGGTGATTATTGGAAATAACAGTTGTACACATTAACTCAAATTCATTATATACCCAATTAATAGCATGTTATTATGGAATCTGATTTCGTATATAAGGTATGATATCAATTATATCGATTGCATTTAATTGAAATTATTATGTCAATTTAATCATATTCTGCTCAATATATACTTGAAACAAAACAGGGGCAACGTTCCTTTACAGCATCGTGTTTCCAAGGTTTTGCATCATTGTCAATTGAGTTATCGGATATTCAATCATAGAGTTCAATCCTTTCGCCAAGTTTCTGCTTCTCAATGTGTATATGTATTTATTGGTGTCGGGTTTTATTACTAAGTGGAATTTCAATGATTGGATCTGCATATGTATATAATATATAGACATATGGTCTCACTTGCATATCCACAAGTACATATGTTACACGTGAACAGAAACAGAGACGACAAAGATGGGGAGCTGCTGATAACGGGTGGCGATGAGGTGGCAGACGGGCTTAAGAATTTGGAGGAGAGATCAACGGATTTTGGAGAAGCCTTCCCGCATCGGAAAATAGAAACAAAATCTGCTATCTTTGCCATATTATTGGCATTAGGTAAAGCGATCGGTGGGTTTTTGATTTTGTTCAGATTACAGATATACTTAAAAACATACACAATCAATTCATTTGATGTGTTGCTGTTTTTTCTTTTTTTTTTTTCTTGAATTTTTTGTTGGATAACTTTATACAAAGGGGGTGGTATTTTGCAGAATTGCTGTTTCTTGATAAAAGGGATGTACAACTGTTAATGCTCTGTTCGTGTTACCATTACTACTAATGATACGTTTATGGTTTACTTTACCTGTATTCAAGTTGTGTTATTTTCTTTGTTTTCTATGTTTCCCTCTCCAAATAACAATACTGATGAGCCGCTAATTCATACTAGCAACAAGAGAAAATGACAAAACACATGTTTTTAGAGCTGCCATATCTCAAGCTTTCTCCCTTTGATTATCATTCTTCATGTTTTGTTAATTGGGTTGGTATAGTCTTCGATATTAGAAATTTAATAAAACAAAAAACTTTTACTAGAAATACTTTTACCATAAATTGTTGTTTATTAATTTGATAACCTAATTTTGGTTCTCGGTAAATTTGTTAGTACTAAATAAATGGTTTTGGGGCTGAATTCTAATATAAATATTATGCCATGTTTGCTAATTTATCTTCTAACTTCACTTGAAGGGTTAAAGCACTATCTCTAGCATCAGAATATGATAATTTTTGCCATCCTAAGGTAAATACTTTTCGAATTTTTATGGCATGATTTTCGTTTCTTTTTTTTAGTTTTGATCAGGCTATGAAATTAATTAACATGTGAGCTTTTTTTTTAATCAATACTATGTTATATAAGAAGTGGTACTCCAAACCATCCTTGGAAGAACTAAAGTAATTTCCTTTTAACAGGTCTGGTGACAAGTCAAGAGAAACCAAATGTGGTTTTCAGAAACCAGACATGGACAGAAGCGAAAGGGCATTTTTGGAAAACCAAGCTTCGACAACTTTTTATAGTTTTGTATCTGCAAGTAATTTTCTCTTGGAGGTTAAAAGGGTTATAACATATGCTAGAAGGGGGGGGGGGGGATACAAAAGTTCATCCAATGAATAAAGAAGAAATTGACAGTGTGCTTTTAGAAGAAGATGATAGATAAATCAGAGGCGACAGATCAATTTTGGAGTGAAATCATACCGTTAGAAGTAATTTTGTAGGATAAGGGTCAAATATTTAACTAAATTCTAAATCAATTTACCAAGTTTTGTAACAGAGTATTGATCATTGTTGTAGATATGATGATTTATTTTTTGTGTTTTAGCCTTTTGTAATGAAGTGTATACAGATTGTAGCAGTAGCTCTGCATGAAGAACAACCGTTTTTGGAGGTGATTTGGAACGCATCGCATGTAAGACATCCGAACATACTGAAGGGTACATTCTCTTTTTCTCATAATTATAGCAATCTAATTTTATAAAAATATTTAAGTAGAACGATGCAGTTTTAAAAGTGTATTCAGAGGGTAGACTATTCATAGGAAGAAATGAAAATATGTAAAAATATATTGCTATTTCTTTTATTTATTTTTTGGTTCAAATGTTTGATGGCTTTATATATATTGCCTAACGTGCGAACCGGATAATGCATCTATGGAACCCATTTGTCAGAAAGCAAAGGTAATTCAGTTAATCATAGTTCGTATTATTTTGGTATTTACAGTAATAATATGTATATATTTGACAATTACTTATTTACATAAAAAGAGACCTTCATGAGACCTGACATTGAAATCTACTTCTACTATCTTAATAAAAGAGACTATATTTGATGACATGTCACTCTTATATTTCGTTTTCCATTCAATGTTAATTTACTTCGTTACCCTTGGTTTTCCTAAATTCTCATATATTCATTACCCTCCAATCGATTGAATCCGTTTTTGAAAATCCAATTGATTTTTCAAATTTCCGCTTAAAAAGGTTGTAATATAGTAAGATTTAAATGCATTTATAGACTAACAAAGTTATCAATACATTTAAAATTCATTATATTTGGAATTGATTATCAACGTCACCATATTTGTTTAATAGAATTCCATGATATTTGTTTAATATCATGACCTGCAATTGTTTATCTCAAAGATCATCTGCGGATTTCAATCCAATTTAAGGGTATATATGTATATTACATGCATGGTGTGCCATTTACACATTTGTTTATCGCACAAATCCTCTGCAGAGAAAAAAAGAAAAATACTTTAACCTTTCAATCACTTTCATTCGGAAAATACATGTATTTGGTTTGTCTTTAATTTTTATTATCTCATTCTATATGCGTATGTGTACATGTCACTGTATCTGCTTAGTTGGTTTGCACTCTTCGTTTTTTATTAATGGTTTTCCATCGACATTATGTTCCTACAATCTTTGTTTTGTACTTCCTATTGGGGTTGGTTTGACTCCATCGTAGGTTTTTTTTCTGATTTTTTTATTGGCAAATGTTTTCTTTTGTACTGTTCCTTTTATACCTCTTTCAAATTCAATGACAAAGATACTTAAAACCATATAAATTTGTTAGAAAAATGTATTTGGAAGGGAATTTTGATAATTTCATCAATAAAAAGGAAAATTAAATTGAATTTTATCCTTTTGGCAACCATGGAATGAAATCTCTATTTCCAATTCAAAGTTATATGACATATACCTTCCTTGCAGCAGACTTTCATAAGCTGAGTCTTTCAAGTTGTATATGGATGGATAGGGGCAATTTTGTCACATAGTAGGATGCAATGGTATTTGTATATAGATAACAACACAGTTTCATTTTTTACTAATGTAAAAGAAGCAACTGAAGACTCTAAGGGTATTTTGGGCAAGATGTAGTAGATTGTGTTTATAAATGCATGTATGTTATTCTCAAGTATTAAATTCAATATTGTTTCTTTGACTTTCAAGATTAAATATTATAAAATCCCAAAATACAGGTAAATGTATTGTATTCCAAGTTTTAGCAAACTAAATATAGTCATAATTTCATAATCGATCAAATTGTGTTTTATAATGTTATTGAGAAGAAAATAGACAACATAAAAAAACAAACAAAACTGCTCCATTAATTTATTTAAGACAATTACATGGGCATTGAATACTTTAAAAAAGTAAAAACTCAAAGTCTTTGAAATGGCTCAAATAATTAACAGTAACACAAAATTATGCTTGATAAGAGGGGTAATTTCCACAAAACATGTACTGGAAAACCAAAAAACTAAATCATTAAGATAATAAATATTAACAATCTTAGAAATTTCAAAAATGATTATACAATTATCTGTCATTCCAACATAAGTTTTTAAACAAGATTGGTTGTTAGATTGATATATAACACTTTTATTTGAAGGGATTGTGGATCTGCTTCAACTTAAAAAAGATGCCTTTTGAATTGGTGTGTCCAAATCCAGAGTAACAGACATACATTAATAAGGTTATAGTCTGTAACCGTAGTGTGGAACATGTGTAATGTTAAGAGTATCAGTTCAAATCATTTTAGCAAGCATGCATCATCTATTCCCTAAACCATGTACCCTACAAACGAAATGACTAATGTGAGGTCATCAACTAACCTTCTCTATCCCCTCGTTAATTAGTCACTACATAATATGTATGTATATAACATATTCAAGTAAATATATTATATTAATTTTAACTACATACAAAAAGTTTTAATATAAATGTTTTATAAGTATTTTACCCGTGGTTTTCACGGGTAGTAACCTAGTATCATAATATGAATAAAAACTACAAACATTACACGCAAGGTAGCATAAAAAGAAAATTAATAAAAAATGGCAAAACATTTCATAAAACTTAAATAAGACAAACATAGACCCCCTTCTTTTCTTCATCTCATTTGCCAAACAAATAAGTAAACAAAAACAAAAAATTTAAATAAACATACATGATTCAAAGGAAAGGAAAGCGCCAAACCATGTGTAATGTTGCACTCTTAGTAACGATATTTATTGTAGACTATATTATATAAGTCGATGAAAATATTTATAAAATGATATGACATTGCTTCAGTAACATTTTTTAATTTTAATGGTCATATCACTTGTATATGATGTGATATCTTAAAAAATAACAACATTTATACAAAATATCAAGTTTAATTATTGACTCTATACTTTGAATAACTAGGATGAAAGTCTAATGGTTAGGATGAAAATTCCATAAAAAGTGCTCAAAATTAAAACCTTGTATATCATTTAGCACATACTCATTCATAACCATCTTATAATACAATACAAAAATATAACTTGTGCAATATTTAACTATTAAAAAAAAAGGTTAAAGTTTAAAAATCCGGAGTGCACATAATATTTATTGTTCACTTTGTTTTTCATGAGTTTGTTGAACCATATTCTTGTCGTCTTCCTCAACCACATTATTATTCTCCATTTCTTTATCTGTTGTGACCGGAACTGTGTCTGTGTCTGTGACTGATGATCCATTTTCAACCGCAGCAGGTGGATTACCGTTTTCTGCTACATTCTTTGTCTCACCAGTAGCACTAGCATTATTTTGAACTCTCTTTGGTAAGTGCCGTAAAGATGACGTTGTCAAAAGACGGGAAAGCCCCTCCAACACGTACTTTCCATCCATGATGAGAGAAGCGCCTCCAGGGTAACATCGTCCAAAGCACGTACCACAATGTGGATAAGCAACCTGAACATTCAATAATCATATGCCATCCATTTTTTTTTTTTTTTTTTTTATTTAACAGAATTTGAAATTACCTCTATAAATGCTCTGCAGAGAGAAAGAAAGAGAAGAGACTCATTCTCCCTTAGTACTCTTGTGGTGTTATATCTTAATAAAGAATCAGAAACAGTTCGCAGCCCTTTTACTAGCTCTTGAGCAAGAATATGTTTCAAGCTTATTGGTGCACATGGCCTCAGCTCATTCATTGCAGCAGATACACCTGTCATGTTCATGCCACATACATCATCAAACATCTCATGATACCATAACATAACCAAATCAACATTCCTATTTTTTGCATGTTTTTTACAAATTTACCGTTAACAAAAACAGCAAGAGGCGAATGCTCCATTAGACTTGGGGGAGGTGTAATGTCTTCCTGGCTTTCATCACCAACGCTATTGGATGAGAAGCCAACTGCTGGTAGTGGGACCCATCGGTGAGAATCCAAAACCAACTGTAATCAATATATATATATATATATATATATATATATATATATATATATATATATATATATATATATAAATAGGTTTTAAATTTTAATATTTCCATTATTATAATTAAGGAACAATGGTTAGGTGAGAAAGTGAAACTGTACCTGAAAATTCTCCACTGCTGTGTTCATGTTTTTTGAAAATAGGTTTAAAACAGCCCTGTGGAAACGAAAAGAAGGGTAAAGTTGTGAACTTTAAATAATAAGATAAATAAATAAAAGGAAAGTGAAAGTTTACTCTTCAAAAAGAGGTGGAAGTAGGCCCCGAAAATCCAACCCTACCCAACCGAGCCCCATGGCACAATACTGTGAAGCATAAAGAGGAAATGAAAAGAAGGGTTGTGACATATAGCAATGTAGTTTGGATGATTATAAATTTCACATTCTATGATTTATAAAAGAAATGATGATAGAGAAAGCTAAAGGGGTAAATGTAAAGTAATAGAGATGAGGGAAAGTGAAACTGACCATGCACTGATCCAATATATTGGATAAAGATCCACCTTCAGTTATCTTAGGGAGCATGATTTTGAGAGTTTTAAGGTGAGATGCAATCTGATGCATAGCCCAGCTGAAGAGAAGTCCTCCATCATAATTCTCCTCACTTCCTGATGTGTCATCAGCAAATATGGCACGATATTGGTTGACAACATCAAACAGATGCATTCTGTGACAGTTTACCATTCCTTTTAGGTATTCATAAGCATTTCTCTGATCTAAGTCATCAAGAATCCCACATAACCATGACTCTCTGCATCTTAGAAACTGCCCCATTACAAAAAATATATTCTCATTAAATTGTAAATAAGTTGGGATTACTATAAAAGTTTGATTATTTGGTGAGTAAATTATTAAATGGTAGATACCTGTAGGCGCATTTCATACTCACTATACACTCCTATCCTTCGCAAATATCCAATAATGCGAAGACATTCTGGTAACTGCAATATCATAATAACTCATTACACATTATCATTTTATCATTCATTATTCACTTTAAAAACATCAGGTGTTGTGTACTTGTGTCATTATAAACTTACCTGAATATTTGATCTTAGTTTTTGGAGAAGTTGGGAGAGTAAAGACTGGGTAGTCTGTCTTACTTCAGCAGCAAGGGCCTGAATGACTGGTAATCTTAATGGAACATAATAATAAAAAATAGTGGTAAGTCCACAAAGCATTAAGCTACTACTATGAATTTGAGAGCTAAGAAAATGGACTTTTAATTAGGATAAAAAAAAATATTACTTCGGGTGCATTGTTGACAGTTTGCTAACATATGCTTCCAAGTCTAGAGCTTCATCATAATTCCCATTCCTCACACACCTAAAGAAAGTTAAATCTTTAAATAACCAATCTAATAGATAATCAGAACAAGATTTTGAACTGGAAATCAAAAAATCCCGACCATGTTTTCTACATTTATATACATGGTTTATCCCAATGGCAATTTCAGGCCTTAAAATTAATAGTCTCTAGTTTTTATCTTAGCATGTGATGTCTAGTGATAGGTCAAATACATACGTGTCCATAAGCTGAGGAATTTCAAGTAAGTCAAGCAAAGTACTATGATTTGCCAGCAGTGTTTGGTTCATCTTTCTCTGCTCCAGAATCTTTTCTGCAGACTCTATGAACTCAGAGCAGCCAGATGTTAGCTTTGGGACCTCTGCAATCTGCACAAAAGGAATTCAGTATGATTCTAACTTCAACAGCAGATAAAGTAGGTAAGCTGAAACAACAACTATCAGGATACAATTAAGCTTCTTGTATTGTATTAGGCTAGCAAAACATAATTACTCTTTCTACAAGGAAATAGTTAACCTTGCAATCAAAGTACAGTTGATGCTGTTCTTAATTCTTATGAAAAAGTTTGGAGGCATTGGTGTTGACTAGGTTAAGGCTAAAAATTGGAATGTGATCATTCTCATTGTTAAAACTTAATAGCATGGTTCCATACAAAGCATAACTAAACAACACCCGAAGTGGCTGTTTGTAGACTTGTGACAGTGTATACGGCAATCATGCCACTTTACAAACAACTAGAAGTTTAGATCAATTAGAAATTGGAAGTGGCTCATTTGATCCCATTCTCAAAGTAGAGCCCTTATTCATTTTCTAATCAGAGGCAATAGTTGTGTCTACGTACTTGACATTCTTAGTTTTTTAGTTTTACTGCCATCATATAGCCATATGCAAACCTATGAAGATTAATTGAATGTATCGCTAAATTCATCATCCACTAAAAGTAATGACTTGGGGTTCTTGAAGAACGAATTACCAATGATTCGAGGTGTTTATCAATGGATGAGACTTCGTGGCGTGTAGAAACCAAAGCATCGGCGGCAGAAATGAATGCACGGTAGTTATTGACAGCAACCTCCTGCATCTGCCTACGAATTCTCTCGGCATCGACGCGGAGAAGCTCCGGTTCCTTGTGCAGGCGATCGAGAGTGAAGGAAAGGAGTTCGGAGACGTAAGGTTGTTGAGAAATGGATGCCAACGGCAGCACTTCCGCCATAGTGGCTGAAGAATCATCGGCGGTTAGATTTTCGATCTCCATCTTGTCTTCCGATTTGAACACGGAACAGATCTGGCGTGACTGTGTCCTACTATGTACAATATCAGGGTCTCTAATTTTAATTTTAATTTAATTTAATTTTTTATTTTTTATTTTTTTAATATCAACCTTTTCTTAAAGTCTTCTATCTTTATTATTCTAATAAAAAATTAGATTTATTTTCTTATTATTAGATCATCTAATTAATGTTATGTCATTTAACAATTTATTTATTTTTTATTTTAAATTTTAAAAATTTCATTTTAATTATATTAAATTAATAATATTAGAATAAAAATTAATACAAATTATAAGGTTACATATTTATTTAAATTAACGATTATAATTTTATATAATTAAAAAAATCTTTTAATTAATAATTTATTTAAAATAATTGATTAATAATTTTGAATCTTTACTATGAAAGTTTAATTAATTTTATAAGCATGATTCCCACAGGTTATAAACTACTTATTTTAATAGATTTATGAGAAATCTTAAAAAAATCATTTATTATTAAATATTTTTTTTTCTTTTAAAAAACCAAAATTTGAGTATATTTCACCAAATTACCATGCTTTTCCAAATAACAAAAATGTATTTGAGTGAGACTTTTCATTTTAAAATGGGTTATCGGTCGTCTACTGCAGTTCCTTGTTTTTGCAATGATAGAAGGAGATGATTCGTCATTTAGACGGTATGCTAACACACCGATGTACATTGCATACCATCCAATGGCCAACTCGTGGTTGAAACCTCCAAGACTTGAAATCTAACTAAATCATATTCATTCCTAACTCAAAATCCCTAAGATTATCAATAGTAATTTAGTAGGAAAATTCATCCCAATCAAATCAACATCGATGTCCACATTAGGCTCAACATATCTCAAAAGGAATTCTTATTCTTCATCATCGTAGAGGATAAACTCCCTAAACTATCATTCAATTTTTCCCATTCATTTTACACATAACCAATTCATGTCTATCTCTACCTCGAATAATACCTAACAGGAAAATTCATCTCATTTAAATCAAAATCAATATATGTAGTAGATTCAAGATATCTCAAAAGCAATTCTGACTCTTCATCACGAGTAAGAGATAAACTCCATAAACTATCATCACCCTTAGAAGGTTCAATATTATCTTCTTTCTAATAAACGTCTTTACATAGATCAACAACCTTTTAAATGTTATTTTATGTAATAGTCCATTTTATGTTTTGTAACTTTGCAACCCTTTAAAGTTTAAACACAACTTCACAACACTAGACATCACATATCCCTTAGTTTCTATATTTACAAGAAAAGCTCAAAGACATTTATTAAAATTTAAGACTTCATATTTCCCATCAACACCCTAAATATTCATAAGGGACATGATATAAAATCTTTTATGAACAACATGACATCCTTTATATGTTTGGTCCTCATCTAACATCATTCTAGTCTATTGCTTATAACTCAAACTACAAACTGATTCAAGTCTCCACAAAAAGAGGAATCAACTACCTACAAGTTTTTTGTTCTATGTTTTCGTAATTTGCATTTTTCGTCTCATAAATATACTCAGTATTCAGGACATTGTTGGGAATGCCTCATATTGGAAGTCAATTGTACTACATCGATATTTTCCCTCATCAGTTCGACCCGGTTCATCCATCAACTCATCCAATAGAAATATAAAACAAATTTGTAACTATATTTGATCATCTTTGGTGATATAAACTGAAAATATGCACCATCAACATCACCACTTATCTTATTGACACTCTAAGCACCATATTCATCACTCACTTTTCTAGTACTTGCACAAATGTAATATGCAACATATTCAACATCTCGAGGCATTCAGTTAGACTTCATTCCAAAGTTGTTGCCTAAGCACCCATGGTATTCACACTTCTTTGGCATACACAAAATTACAGCTATAATACTATTACCAATGGTAAGTGCTGTAAATGAATGAACAACAAACATGGTGTTGGGTCATATGGATTGTATCCATTGTTTTATTACTTAGTCCATGTTTTGTATAGTAGGTTGGGCCTGCCCACCTGGTTATTTATTATTAGGGTTTAGATATTTAAGATGCATGCATGCACCATATCTTGTAAACGTCAATGTTGTAAACCCTACACGCCTTTATAGTAGCTTTTCTTCATCGAGCTCTTCTAAGGTTGTGATTATTAATCATTCGACATATTTGATATTCATTATGTGTTCTTGATTCTTTCACCTGTTGAATCTATTCGATCATTCAAGATTTATTCTCAACAATTGGTATCAGAGTAGGAGACTGTGTAATCCATACACATCTCTTTTGTTAAAAGAGCTTTTAGGGTTTCTGCTTTAATTGGATCTGGAATCTGCCATCATCTTTGATTTCATCGATTACAGATGTTGAATATTGATCTTTATTTTTCCCTAAACTCGATTTTAGGTTTACACATCTGGTTCATACAGGTTTTTGTTAAATCGACATCATGCAGTTTGACGATTCTCACGGTAACTCAATCAATCTCTCACGCGACATTGGATCTACAACAATGATCTCTATTTTGTTTCTAAACAATTATGAAGTGTGGGCACTACACTTTGAAGATTACGTGCTGGGTCTGGAATGCCATTACCAAGGAGATGTTTGCTCATACAGGTACAAAAAGAGTTATCAAGACTCAAGCAGAGTACAACGATCTTCTTCTTGAAGTTGAAGATGTTCCTAAAAATGAAAAAGACAAGCCAATCAGCAATGTCAAGGCCATGAAAATCATCCGTTTGCTTTACCAGCCGACACATTTCGACTAGTGATGCGTGCAAATAGCTACACCTATCTTTATATTTATAACCTAACTAACTTAACTAACTAAATTGCACCTAGGCAGTGTACCTAGTCAAATTATAGTATAGCTTGGGTAAGTCGGGTGTCGATCACAAGGAACGGTTTTAACTAATTTATCTATCTACTACTAATTTAACCTAATTACTAACAAAGAAATGGGATTTATCTAATTTTGCAAGTTTAGATGAACTCAACTCTTTAACACAAATTCAATCAGTAAACAAAACATTTCTGTTAGTTCGAATCCACTTTCCCTCAATGGTTTATAAATTAGCTATGACAAGTACTGTTGGTTACCAATTATGATAGTATTAGCAATTTAGTTCTAAATATACTAACTATAATTAATTCATGTAAATCAAAGTATGTTCACACTTAGGTTAACATAGAATCAATTATTTTATGAATTGGAGCTATGTAAGATTTATTAACAAAACACAATTACAAATAATATGAGTTCTCTGGCACAACCTAATTCAATAATTGATTGCTTAACTAAGATTGGTTTAATCCTAGCTCTAATAATTTAATATTTACTAAATTACCAGGTATTCTAATTCATACAAATTAAGGTTCATCAACTACACAAAATAAGACATCAAAGCAATCAAATGCTAAATTAAACATGCTAGGTTCAATCAATCCAACACAAGTCTTAACCAACAAATAAATCAAAGCTAAAATACTACACCATGAGTTCCAGGTTCATCTAGCTAACAGAAGCAACTAGAAATAGCTAGACATACTTTCTAACAAGCATAAATAACTCATATTCAAAGACATAATTAAAGTGTACCAAATTCTTAAACTAATATGAACTTCTCCCTCCTTAGATGCTAATAGCCAATTCCAGAACTTTACTCCTTCTGAAAATTGTCTCCAGGAATCCTCTAAGCAGCCAAAAAGCCTCTAAAGTCGTAATGAGTAAGGATATATTTAGTTTCTCAAAATTTGCGCTTCACGTCGTGAATAAGTCATTCAAGTCATGAATTAGGAGAAATCCTTATCGGGCAAGGATTATTACTTCGCGCGTACTTATCTTCCAGAACTCTCATGTCATGTCGTGAACTTATAATTCACGTCGTGAATATAGCTGATTTTGTGGGTTTCTTCTTTTTTTATTTTCCATATCTCCAAAGTTCCATGTTTTATCGTTTTTAGTCCCTTTCATTCAAAAATGCTTTTACTTGGTTGCAAAGAACAATTTATCCTCACGAGTACCATTATTTAATGCAATTAACCAAAATATTAATAAAAATGTCAATAAATATTGCCAAAAATCATGTATAAATATGGCAATATCAAAATACCCCCACTTATTCTTTGATTGCCCTAAAAAATCTAATTATTTTTAATTCAAACCTTCATCACCAACATCACATAGAACAATCCATTTCAAACTCAGCCATTATACCAAAACCTCAACGCATGCATTTGTGTCTAAAATTTTCCTATGGACCCCCCTTAATTCTAAATACTTACAATCCTTATAAACACTTGCCCACTTCTTTTGAACAATGCTCATTTTATACATCCCTCCGGATCCATCTACTGAAAACTTCCTAACCTCAAGGTATTTTTGTAAAGCTACCTAAACATACATAATCTAGAAAATTACAACTTTAAGATACCACAATATGAAGCTCTTGAATTCTTCACTTTCTTTGATATTTGATCTTCAATTTCTTTGAATTCTTCACCTTTTTGTGTGATTTTTGGTATCTTCAACTTTTGATTTTTCAGAATTTTTGATCTTCGATCTTCAAACTTTAATTGCTCCAAAATTCTTCAATTTTTCTTGTAATTTCTCTCTCTTTTTTTTACATCTACTCACTTTTTTTTTCACTCAAAAACCTACATGCTTAAGCTGGGGCGCTTAACTTCAACCCTTATTGGTTAAGATATTAGTTTTCCTGGATACATTTCAAGTACGGGCTGCTAAACATATTACATGCCTCAAACTAAGCGAGGTTGTGTTTTTGTCTCATAATTTCACTAGAATAAAGGGGGCCACAAATGCACTATAACGTATATTTGCTCAACTAAACATTTGAGCTCTCATCGGATCACTCCATATAATAGCAGCAATTTAAGTTTAAATTATTATCACTAGATTAATAATTAGATTATTATTTCATGCCTATTAAAATCTATTACTAAATTTTGAAAATGTACCAAATTTCCTAGCAATTTACTTTTTCTACCCCCT